AAGGGAGAAGAGCAGAGAGCGGGACCCTACCCAGAGAAGCAGTGATGCCTGAAATGGAGCCAGAGATGATGACATGGAGCGATGGAGCAGCTGGAGACTTTAGATCCAGAGAGGGAGAGTAACTGTGTGCTAAAGACCTGGGGGGTACAGGGGAAGGCTTGCAGGGTATACCCTTTGGTTGGATGATGATGCATGGAGGGGATTGTAACCATGGCAATGAGACGATATACGATAGAATGAATGTAAAACTAATGTTCTCGAATGTAATCTATCACATAATTCACAATAAAACATTTAAGAAAGAAAGAACCCTGAAGTCTTCTCAAAGTCTAATAGTTTAACTTAACTAGTAAAAAAAAAAAAAAAAAAAAAAGAGTAGTTTGCCTTGAGTATTATGCTCTTTAAAGCACTATCTCTATGGGGCTGTGGGTTAATGCGTCAGACTGCAAAGCTGTTTGAACTGCAAGGTCAATGGTTTAAGCTCACCAGCTGCTCCTCGGAAATCCTATACAGGGTCGTTATGGGTCGGAATTGACTCGAAGGCACTTAACAACAACAACAACATATGGGATCAAATTCATAATAACTCAAAAGACTAGCTAGGAACCTCAGGGGGCAGTGAGCTTATGTTAATGAAGGAAGACCAACTCAGAAAAGGAGGGTGAGAGTAGTTGTGCAAATTGAAGAATGGAATCAATGCCACTGAAGTCTACCTACAGAAATGGTTGAATTGGTTTATGTTTTGCTGTGTATATTCTCAACAACAACAATATAAATAAAATGTAGGCAGGAAAATCATACCCAAACCCCATACCAAACCAATTAAATCAGAATTTCTGAGGTTAGGTCCCAAGTATTGGTTTGAAGCTCTTCAGGTGATTCTCATATGCAGTCTTGTTTGTGAACCATAACTCTAGAAGCTCTGATCCCTGTCTATATCTCTCACCTTGCTTACCAAGGTCTCCTAACTTGCTTACCATGCTCCAGATGCATTAGCCTCATTTTCTGTACTTGTTACTGTTGCCAGTATATTGTCTCACAATTCCAGAATCTGTGAAGGGCTGGCTTCCATTCATTATTAAGTTTCATTCAATAGTCGCCTCTCCAAGGAAGCCTTTTCCTATCTTTATAAATTAGAACCAATCTGTCCATTCCCCATGACCTGTCTATCTTCCATACATCCCCAAACTTGACTGTCCATTAGTAGGGTTAATTAAAGCACAGATTATTGAGACCACCACCAAGTCTCTGATTCAGTAGGCCTGGGGTGGGACCTGAGAATTTACATTTCTAACCAGATCCATGTGGTACTGATGTCATTGGTCTAAGAACCACTCTTGGAGAGCCATTGCTCTATCCCATTAGCCAATTTAATTTTTTTCATGACACTTAACATGGTTTAATTGCTTATTTACATGTTTATTGTATTTCTAGCTCCAACGGAGCTCTGGTAGCGTAGTGGTTACAAATCGGGCTGCGAACCTCACAGTCAGCAGTTTGAAACTACCATCTGTTCCATGGGAGAAAGATGAGGCTTTCTGCTCCCGTAAAGATTTACAGCCTCGGAAGCACTGTGAAGGGTCACTATGAGTCGGAACCGACGCCACGGCACATAACAACAACAACAAGCTCCAACCCCAATAAAAATTTAAGATCCATGACTACAGGGGCCTTTCTTGCCCAACACAATATTCCCAGTACTGGAACACTGCAGGCACATAATGAAGAAGTACTTCAAGGAAGCATTAAAAATATGAAAGGTGTTAGTACCCCAGAGATTTTCCTTAGAACTTACCTTGGACTGGTGGTGGGCAGGTGATCTTGGGCCTGATTCTTCATGGTAAGCTAGAATTTCTAGTGGACTCTCTGAGAAGCGAAGATCTTTCAAAACTTTAGAGTCAGTTCTTTCACTTATCTCAAGGCCTAAAATTGATCAAAAACATTGCTCTGTGAAAAAATATATAGATACATATATACACATATATATGTTGTTGTTAAGTGCCGTCGAGTCAGTTCTGACCCATAGCGACCCTGTATAGGATTTCCAAAGAGTGACTAGTGAGCTTGAACTACCAACCTTGTAGTTCAAACAGCTTTGCAGTCTGGCGCATCAACCCACAGCACCACACCAGGACTCCATATGTATATACAGAGATATATATTTATTATTGTTAAATGCCGTTGAGTCGACTCCAATTCATAGTGAGCCTGTATAGGGTTTCCGAGTAGCAGTTGTAAGTTTGAACTGCTGACCTTGTAGTTCTCAGTCTAGTGATGATCCTACAGCGCTACACTATATATAATTATGTAAACATGGCCTCATAGTTGGAAACATTTTTAATAAGGACCCACTGTCATTATATTATTTTCCTAAAGATAATAATTATATAAAGATCTCCTGCTCTGTGTATAGCACTGATAAAGTTAAAAAAAAAAAGATCCCAAACTGAGAAAGTAAAAAATCTACCCTGATACTTTTCACAACATTCCATATCATGTTGGGAAATTAAACAGATAAAGCCAATTGTAAGATTAACAGGAAATATATTTCTCCCAAAGGCACACTGTAACTTTAAAATGTTACAACAATCTCCTTTTGAATGACTACTGCTTTCATACCAAGAAACCTTGTATTTGAAATCATAGAGTATGAGAAATTTTGCTTTTTGAAATTATATTAGCAAGAAACATCTCACTCTTGCCTGGAAGGCCTAAGTCACTTTGACACAGAGAAGCAGACTTGATTTCTGGTGCATTGCTTCAGATAAGAAATTTCTGAACGCAGCACTCGCATTTATCTTAAACTTATAGTTTCCAAGATAACAGGACCCTGACTTCCCTCTGCAATCCAGGGCTTTGCATACAGTCCTGATTTCCTTTGTGTCTATTAAAATTCTGCTTTCATTTAAATTTCACCCAAACTCCACTCTTACCCTAAATCCTAAAATTCTATTTTTTCCTGTTTAATGAAATGCCCCGTGGCTCCTTTGATGTGTGACCTCCTGTTCTGTACTGCTTGAGCTTACTTACACTGTTTGAGCTAGTACAACACTAAAATGCAAATTATATCTTACTTTCCTTTTCTAGTGTTTCTTATTCCAGTATTTCCTCAGACAAGAAAACAAGCAGCAAACCTGTTTGGTGGGTTTATACAACACTAAGCCTTTTCTTCATTCTGTAACGTCATACCTGGGAATTTTTGAAGGTTAACATTCCAGCTAGCCTTACGTCCATCAATCTTATCTTTCTTTCTGGATTTTGATCCAACAAACCCATTTTTTAAATCCTAGGAATGAAGAGATTGCATTATCAGTCACTTGATTATGCCTCTGTAGGATGGAGAAAATTAAAGTAGGAACAATGCCGTATCATTCATTCCTTACTGAAAAGGGTTTACGGTATTTTTTATAAATAGCCTTTGATTAACCGTCTCTAGAGACACACAGCTGTGTATCTGGCAGCATGACTGATTAGTCAGTCCCATTAGGTCAACGACCAAAACAGCAGCAGGTGGCAATTCATATAAGCAGAATGTTGTATTCATGGGAGTCTGCTTAATAACACAGGTGCCATCAGATACAGAAGATACAGAAAGGGTGGAATTAGATCAAGACAGGACTTATGTATATTACCACCCATACAGACCTTAAATACACTTTGTTTGGACTTCTCCATGGATTTAGTCCCTTACACCTGATTCAAGACTGATATATGTAGGCTCAGGTTTTGCTGACTTCTCCTTCCCCATAGATTCCTGCTTTGATAATTCTTGAGTCCTACATGACACTTGCATCCAATGCTTTGGTTCCACAGTCTCTTCTCTGGCCTCGAGTCCACCCTTGAGCTTAAACAGCTCCCAGACAAACTTCTGTTGTCCCCAACCAGAGCCCCATAACTGGGACCTTCTGTATTGTTACCTTACCTAGACAATCCTCTGGCCTTGTTCCTTGGATCTACTTCATTGATGCCCTCAATCCAGAGCCTGAAGTTTCAAGAGTATCCTCCTTAAAGAGATCTGGCTCACTCTCAAAAAGGTGAGGCTTTGCAGCTATTCATGAGTGACACTTTCAATGTAATAGAAGGCTATACCCATGAAGGACTTCTATTAGTTCTGATGTATGTATTCAACAAATGTACACTCAAATATTGTTTACCATTGTGCAAGGCAATGAATATGGCATACATTCTATCACCCTAGAGCTTGTAATTCATGGGAAGGAAAGACAAAAACCAAAGCAATAAAAAAATCAAAGCATTTTATAAAAGAAGAATGCCTGGGTGTTAGGAGAGCACTGATTGAACACAAAACAAACAATTTAGTTTGCCTGGAGTGGAGTCCTGGTGTGGTGCTGTGGGTTAATGCGCTGGACTACAAAGTTGGTTTGAACCACAAGGTCGGTGGTTCAAGCTCATCAGCTACTCCCTGGAAACCTTATACAGGACCGCTATGGGTCAAAAGCAACTCGATGGAACTTAACAACAACCAATACGAAGTGAAATCACAGACAAAGCTAGAGAGGCCAACTAAGGGCAGAAACATTACTTGGAATGCTTCTGCTTTCTTTAGTAGGTAAGGAATGGGAGAGAAGAAGGCATGGGCAATAATGCAGGGGAGCAATGCTAATTTGCAGGGTAGGGAAGAGACTGACCAAATGATTGGGAATCAGTGAAGATACTTTGCAATGGTTAAGACTGACTTCAATTATAAGACCTGGCTGCAAGCTGCAGTAGTGAAATGAAAGGGAAGATGTGACCACTAAGGAAGCAGGAACCACGAATGTGGTAACTATCTGAACTTCTTATCATTTTATTACTTGCCTGATTTGAAGAATCTTTGAGAATATTTTCAATATTGTCTTCAGAAGAGATTGTATTTGATGGTTCATAGTCTACCTGAAATACCTTCGTTACAATGCCACTCTTTCTGCAGTCTCTGGACAGCATTTCAAAAGAAAAAATTGTCTGTGGTTATACAAACATTCAAAGAGAAGGTAGCTAGCAATTAAGATGACTCTATTAAAGTCCCTTGGACTTTAACTCAACCTATTTTAAAATTAAAACACAATTCCTATAGTCTTTTCTTACCTTATTCTCATTTTGATTATCTACTGCTGTGTAACAAACTATTCCAAAACATAAGTGTCTTAAGACATAAATCCATACAAAGATGTGGGTGGGTTAACTGGGCTCAGCTATGCAGCTCCTGTTTGAGATCTCATATGGTTCAGTCAGATGTGGGCCGAGCTAGAATCAACTGAAAGCTCCACTAGGCTGGGTATCCACAGTGACTTCTGCATTCATATACGTGAGGCTCAGACTGCTGAGGGCTCTCTCTCTCTCTCTCTGGGACTATCTTGGGTTTCCTTACAGTATGGAAATCTCAGAGTAGTTGGACCTCCTACATGGCAACTGTTTTATATCATCACTGTTTATATTCCAAAAGCCCAGAAGAAAAAATGCAACACTTCTTGTGATCTATCCTCAGAAGACCTCAGCATCACTTCTGGAACATTCTATAGGTCAAAAGCAAGCCATCAGGGGAGAGGGGGGAAGCAAGTGATAGGGCCAGCCCAGATTTAAGGGAAGGAGCTATAACAGAGGGTGAACTACACTGGGAGGCAGGGTTCATGGAGGGCCATTTTTAGAGACTAGTTACCATATTCATTATAAATATATCAGAACTTAAGCCCCAAATTATTCTAAAACAAATAATGGGGTTACCTCAGCATCATTCCACTGGAGTTGGGATAATTTTCCTTATATGTGTAAGAGAAAATACCTCATATAGAATGGTACCAAAATCTATAGCTTTTAACTATTCTTATTCAAATATTAGCATGTTTTCAATTTACCCACAATATTTCACAAATCATTCTCTGATAAAATAGAAGTTCCAAGAGAGAGCAATGTAGAGATGCCCATGACTAAGAATTGGTAGTGACTTTATCTCAGCACCAACAGCTTACCTATACTCTTCCATATCCCTCCCAAGCCACCCAGTTTTATAGACAGTAGTAATTACTCCTTTAAAAAAAGTTTTTATTGTGATTTGGGTGGAAGTTTATAGAGAAAATTGGTTTTCCATTCAACAATCCATATACATTTTGTTTCATGACACTGGTTGCAATCCCCACAATGTAACACCACTCTTGACACTTCCTCCTTGTGTATTTCCATTCATCATTCATTCCTGCCACTTCCTGCCTTTTGAAATTTATTCCTGGGAAAATGCTGCCTTTTTGGTCTGAATTCAAATGCTGAGGAGAGAATAAATTTCTGTTTATTAAGGCCATCCACTTGTAGCATTTCTTTAAGAGCAGAACTAGATAACTAAAATACCAAGATAAATTATAATAAAATTTTCCAAAACCAAAGATAAGGGAAGAATGTTGCAAACAGCTTGGGGAAAATGAAATGTTACTTAGAAAGGGAGAACAATACGATTAAGCTCTGATTTTTCAACAAAACTCATGCAGGCAAGAAGGCAATAGGATGACATGTATAAAACCCTGAAAGAAAAAAAACTGCCAACCAAGACTTACATATCTAGCAAAACTGTTCCTCAAATAGAATAGTAAAATTAACACATTTCCACATAAACAGAAATTAAGGGAATTTGTAAGTAACAGACCAACCCTACAAGAAATGTTAAACAAACATTCAGACAGAGAAACAACAATGTCAAAAAATAACATGCAATTAAGATACATGACACCAGCACCAGGAAATAACCAGGAAAAAAAAAAAAAAGAATTTTCAAAAAGAAAATAGCCTCTGGGACCATCAACGGAGAAGAGCCGAGAGCGGGACCCTACCCAGAGAAACAGAGATGCCTGAGATGGAGACAGAGATGATGACGTGGAGCGATGAAACTACTGGGGACTTTGGACCCAGAGAGGGAAAGGGACTGTGGGCTGAAAACTGGGGGAAGGTGGGGGAAGTGTAAGGAGCGGGTTTCTGGGATATACCCTTTGGGTGGTTGAGGATGCATGAAGGGGATTGGAACCATAGCAGTGAGATGATATACGATGGAATGAATGTAAAACTAAAGTTCTCCCATGTAAACTATCATATAATTCACAATAAAACATTAAAAAAATAATAATAATAATTTTTAAAAAAGAAAATAAACTTACAAGACTGAAAATAGCAAACTAGAGGTGTCAATCTGTAAACAATGGCATCTATAGTGCAAAAAGAGAGAATGAGTGGTATAATCATAGAAATTCCAAATGGAGAGGATGTCATAACAATATTAAAAAAAGAACAGATTGTTTTAAATTTAGGTAGCTAAAAGTAAATTAGGTTTGATGGCGAACTAGGGAGGAAGGCTGTGCAGACCTCTGCCAGAAATAACCCAGAATATGGGATGAAACAGGTTTAAAGGACAGTCCCAGAACTCTGAACGCTCACGGCAAATGGATTTGGAGCAGTTGCCAGAAAGGAGGTGTTTTCTGATTTGCAGCAGCCACTGAGTCCTGCTATAGCCATTTTGAACAGGAAGGAGTAGAGACAAGGTCAAGATAGCACTCCCATCACAGAGTTCTGACCGATAATCAGAGACAAAGTTACTTTTTCATTCTTTTCTTTTCCTCTGTCTACCCACCTCCATTCTGGGGATCAGAGGGAGTACCTTAACGAGTGGACACCCCCAGTAAAAGTTCTACTACTCATGTGCATGGATCCAAAAAGCAAGGATCACTGGGACATTGACCATTTCTTTTTGATGCACTGTTTTATGTATATTCCTTCCACCTTCTTTTGATGCTTTCTGTACCATTCAATATTTTTCACATTTTTTTATTTTTTTTTTTTTATTGCTAAGTGCCATTGAGTCGGTTCCGACTCACAGTAACCCTGAATAGGGTTTCCACGGACCATAGAATCCTTCAATATTGCCAGTTGAGGCTTGAATTTTTTCTTCAGTTCCCTCAACTTGAGAAATGCTGAGTGTGTTTTTCCATTTTGGTTTTCTAACTCCAGGTCTTTGCACATTCTGTTATTATATTTGACTTTGTCTCCTCAAGCTGCTCTTTTACCTCCTCATTTCTTCCATTTGTTTTAGCATCTCTATGCTGGAGAGCAAGTTTCAGAGCCTTTCCTCTGACATCCATTTTAGTCTTTTACGTCTTTCTTATCTTCTTAATGATTTTTCACTTTCTTCCAGTATGATGTTCTTGATGTCATCCATAACTTTTGGTTTTCAGTCTTAGTGTCTAATGCATCCAATCTGTTCTTCAGATAATCTCTAAATTCAGGTGGGATAAATTCAAGGTCATATTTTGACTCTTGTGGACTTGTTTTAATTTTCTTCTGTTTCAGTCTGAACTTGCATATGAGCAACTGACAGTCTGTTTCACAGTCTGTCCCAGCCTTGTTTTGGCTGATGATATGGAGCTTTTCCACCGTCTCTTTCCACAGATGTAGTCAATTTGATTTCTGTGTATTCCATCTGGTGAGGTCCATGTGTATAGTCATCTTTTATGTTTTTTAACAAAGGTATTTGCAGCAATGAAAAAGCCACTGATCTTGCAAAATTCTACCATGCTATCTCCAGCATATCTATTACAAAGGCAATATTTTTCAACTACTGATTCTTCCTTTGTTTCCAACCTTTGCATTCCAATCACCAATAATTATCAATACATCTTGATTGTATGTTTGATCAATTTCAGACTGAGAAGTTAATAGAATTCTCCAAATTCATTACCACTGGCTTTAATGGTTGGTGCATAAATTTGAATTATAGTGGTACTAACTGGTCTTCCTTTCAGGCATATGGATATTATCTGATCAAGATAGCATTGTGAGAAGTGAGGGAGAAAGGGCTTATTGGAGGATAGGGTAGAGGTATAGTAAAGTTCTGCATCAGCAATATCACAGAATACCTGGTGAAGCAGGTTCAGGGCAGAGCTCCAAAACTCTGAACCACATATCTGGGAATATTTTAAAAGATTGAAGGTTATAGCTAGTGGAACATGTAGCAAAAGTAAGACATCTCATACTTGAGAATCTGCTGGGCTCAGCAGCCTGGAGCTGACAACTTGGGTGAGAGCAGACAGCAAGACCAAGTAGGGGCGCAAGCAGACCAACCAAGGAATAACACCGCGAGAACCTCGAAGCAAAAGTGGACAATATATGTTGACAGTTTTGCTTTGTTCTGTTTTTGGGGGGGTTTTTTGTTTGTTTGTTTGTTTGTTTTTTGGTATCTGTTCATTGCCCCCACCACCACCACCACTGTTTGTGAACCTCCATTCTGGTGACTACAGGGGGTGCCTGAGCAAGTGGACACCCCGCCTCCATCACTGGTGAGTTCTTCTGCCACACATGCGCACAGATACTCTCAGCATTTAAAGCTACAAGCGGCTCAAAACAGCCACAGCTGGCCCTGAACTGTTGACTAATAGGGAAAAGGACAAAACAAGGGGTGTGGAGAGGGAAAGAGAGTTTAAAACAAAACAGGTGGAAAATTAAATTCTGAAAAACACCATAACAACCAACAGTGGCATCTTGAAATTTATCAGGCAGCCTTGAAGGCAAGAAAATGAAAGAGGATATTAAAGTCATAGTCATATTAGGCTACAGATTTTTTATTTCTTTCTCACTCCTTGCCTTCTCTATGATTATAGACTACAGTATCCAATCTAGGTTTTTTTGTTGTTGTTTTTTGTGGTTTTTTTTTTTAACCTTTGGGACACTCTTTCTCTCACTATATTACCAAAAAGAAACAGCAATTGCTGCCATATCATCAAGCTACAATCACACCCTATAAAACCCCACAATCCAGGCAAGAACCAATACCAACTGCTATACACCAGGGAGGCAGACAACAACGCAAAACTTACTCTGAATTAAGCAATAAGAAGCATGAGAAAGGAATCTCACATCCTGACCACATCTACCTGGAGGCAATCAGAAAGCATAAAAAATACC